ATGCCGTGGGAGAAACCAAGAACTCGAGGACAAGCCCCATTTTCACGATCCTTGCACGGTTCGACAATGATTGCAATTAAAATGTATGTTTACCACTGGTGATAAATGACTCGAAGGCGACAACAGAACGTGAATGGAAATGCTCAAATACGCTCGCCGTACTTGATTTGGGTATTTACTATACTGTATATTTATATATATACATTGTATATTATAATAAGCTTTTTGTGTAGATATGATGACGTGGGAGAATGTCACCCTGCACCATCGAGGAGAATGTGCCCAGAGCACGAGCCGGGCACTGTGCCATTGGCATTCAGAGTCGTCTATGTTTGGTCGGAGCGAGATGGTTATCGCAAAGCTTGGAACAACCAGGTTAGGGTGAGATGATCTACACTTATAACTGATTTTAATAATATGTATATATAAGTATAATAAATATATATATAAATAAGTATATTTTATTTATATAACTATAAGCCAAGGTGTGCAGATTGCCGTCTGGGCACAACTGCTTAGCGATATTATTTAAAATTAATTAAATGATCAATAAAAATTGTAGTTTATTTTTATTAAGTGTATCGATATATACTTAAAATGTATTAGAAATTAGTTCATTCAAGTTATATTTTTATTTTTTCATGAAAACATCGAGAGGCAAATTAAATGAATAAAAATAATTAGTTATTGGTTAACTTATTGTTTTATCGTTGATATCTTTATATAAACAATTTATTTAAGTTATATTTTTATTGAATATTTTATTTTATTATAACAATTAATATATAATCAAAAAAATATTCTTTTGCTATTAATTATTAATGCTTAATTAAAGTTTGGTTTTAAATGTGCATATTATCCATTCCAGCTATATTTTTATTTTATAATAGATTTATATTTAAACAAAAATATTGTTCTTCCCTCGCTAGCCAAAATGAGTTGCGCTTATCGATATATAGATCGATGATCCAGTTCGGCTCCCTGCACTATCGTCACACTACAATCGATAATTGAAAACACGGCATATCTAGTCACGACTGCCAATCTGAGTCAGCACGCTACAATTGATAATTTCAATTGCTAATTGTCAATTTCCAATAATTAATTTAGTCACCAATCAATGGTATGTGCCCGTGTTGTAGCGCGATGTGCCAAATGGTTGTGCCGCTTATGGATTTGTTGTGGAAGGCACCCGCATGTTTGTCTTTGGCGGCATGTCGTTGTCGTTTTATTCGGCTTTTTTTTTGCGCATTGTATGTGTGCACGAATTTTGGAGTGTGTCGCATTTCCATTTATTACTGACTTACATTTCAATTTCAATAAAGTGCAATTGATAATTTGGTAAGCGAGAAGGAAAAACAACAATAATTCGCATTTTAAAAATTGTGTGATAAAATGGCACCAAAATTTTGATACCGATTTTTGATGAGCGTCGGCGTCCATTTGACGACATTGCTAGGTCAACATAAATTGTTAGCATCAACGCAGCAATCACAGTGCTCAATAATAGTTTATTCGTATTCATTTAAATTTTTAATTTTAACTTGACTAATTTTTTTTTACAGTTTTGGCAAGCAAAAAGATGAACTTGAATTGTAAACAAATATATTAAAAACGAATAATCTGCTGAATTGAAAATGGAAATGGATGCCACCTACCAAATTGATAATCCTAATAATAATATGTTGGCCAATAATCAACTTGGTTTTCGTTGGAAACGCATTTTAAATCCAACGCGGCCGCAGCCGCGTCCCCGCCACGGTCATCGTGCCATAAATATCAAGGAATTAATGGTCGTTTTTGTTGGCGGCAACGAGGGAATTGCCGATGAATTTCATGTTTATAATACAGGTATTTATTTAGATATGTGATTTTAAATGAGTTTTTTTTTTTATTTTGAGTGCGTTGATTGTATGTCATGCAAAGCAGGGGACATGATATACTTTGCCACTAACGGTAGTTGAGAATATCGTTGTAGTGTGTTTCGTGCTATGCTATGAAGCTGCACTGTCCCTGCACAATTTGGTGTCGATGTTCATGGAGCTGCACTATAGTCACACTACAATTGATAATTTCAATTGCTAATTGTCAATTTCCAATTATTAATTTAGTCACCAATCAATGGTATGTGCCCGTGCTGAAGGGCGATGTGCTTATGGATTTGTTGTGGAAGGCACCCGCATGTTTGTCTTTAGCTTATCCAAATGAACTTTACGAGTTGCAAGCAACCAAATGGGAATGTCGCAAAATGTACCCTGAGACGCCGGATAACGGTGTCACACCCTGCCCACGGTTGGGGCACAGCTTCACGATGGTCGGCGAGAAAATATTCCTGTTTGGCGGACTGAGCAATGAATCGGATGATCCCAAAAAATAATATTCCCAAGTAGGTGTCAATTATTAATTAATATTAGTAGTTGTAAATAAGTTGCCTTTTTTCTACTTTGGTTTCTTTGCAATAATAATAATTAATTATAAAAAATCTTAAATACAAAAAAAAAAAAAAATTCATAATTACGTTGGTTAACTTTAATTTTCGACATAGCAAAATCGCAAATAAAAAATATATTTAATTCAAAATCAAATTTAATATTTTTAAATTTAAATGAATGAAATTTTTACTAACACTTTTGAGAAGTCAAAAACTAGAATTTAAAGCAAAAATATATATAAAATGAGAGTAAGCAATTTCTCAGGTAAATATTCGATATTAATAGTGTTCATTTTTAAAATTTAAATTACTTTTAGATATCTGAATGATTTGTATATATTGGATACGCGAGGCGTGCACAGTCACAATGGCAAAATCCGCCTCCCCGGGAATCGCACACGGGTATTTCGTTTACGAGCAAAGATCCGGGCAAATTGAGCCTACTCGTCTACTCCGGAATGAGTGATTGTATTACGAATACGGGTATTTCTGTATTACGAATTATATATATATTAATTATTATAATTGTTTTCCATTTGGTTTTTTTTTTTACAGATTCCATGCCGTGGGAGAAACCAAGAACTCGAGGACAAGCCCCACTTTCACGATCCTTGCACGGTTCGACAATGATTGCAATTAAAATGTATGTTTACCACTGGTGATAAATGACTCGAAGGCGACAACAGAACGTGAATGGAAATGCTCAAATACGCTCGCCGTACTTGATTTGGGTATTTACTATACTGTATATATATATATATATACATTGTATATTATAATAAGCTTTTTGTGTAGATATGATGACGTGGGAGAATGTCACCCTGCACCATCGAAGAGAATGTGCCCAGAGCACGAGCCGGGCACTGTGCCATTGGCATTCAGAGTCGTCTATGTTTGGTCGGAGCGAGATGGTTATCGCAAAGCTTGGAACAACCAGGTTAGGGTGAGATGATCTACACTTATAACTGATTTTAATAATATGTATATATAAGTATAATAAATATATATATAAATAAGTATATTTTATTTACATAACTATAAGCCAAGGTGTGCAGATTGTAAAGATATATATATATATATATATATATATATATATATATATATATATATATATATAGATAGATAAATTAAATGAATAAAAATAATTAGTTATTGGTTAACTTATTGTTTTATCGTTGATATCTTTATATAAACAATTTATTTTAGTTATTTTTTTATTGAATATTTTATTTTATTATAACAATTAATATATAATCAAAAAAAATTCTTTTGCTATTAATTATTAATGCTTAATTAAAGTTTGGTTTTAAATGTGCATATTATCCATTCCTGCTATATTTTTATTTTATAATAGATTTATATTTAAACAAAAAATATTGTTCTTCCCTCGCTAGCCAAAATGAGTTGCGCTTATCGATATATAGATCGATGATCCAGTTCGGCTCCCTGCACTATCGTCACACTACAATCGATAATTGAAAACACGGCATATCTAGTCACGACTGCCAATCTGAGTCAGCACGCTACAATTGATAATTTCAATTGCTAATTGTCAATTTCCAATAATTAATTTAGTCACCAATCAATGGTATGTGACCGTGTTAAAGCGCGATGTGCCCAAAAGGAAGGCACCCCATGTTTGTCTTTGGCGGCATGTCGTTGTCGTTTTCTTCGTTTTTTTGCGCATTGTATGTGTGCACGAATTTTGAGTGTGTCGCATTTCCATTTATTACTGACTTACATTTCAATTTCAATAAAGTGCAATTGATAATTTGGTAAGCGAGAAGGAAAACCAACAATAATTCGCATTTTAAAAAATTGTGATAAAATGGCACCAACATTTTGATACCGATTTTTGATGAGCGTCGGCGTCCAGCAATCGCAGTGCTCAATAATAGTTTATTCGTGTTCATTTAAATTTTTAATTTTAACTTGACTAATTTTTTTTTTACAGTTTTGGCAAGCAAAAAGATGAACTTGAATTGTAAACAAATATATTAAAAACGAATAATCTGCTGAATTGAAAATGGAAATGGATGCCACCTACCAAATTGATAATCCTAATAATAATATGTTGGCCAATAATCAACTTGGTTTTCGTTGGAAACGCATTTTAAATCCAACGCGGCCGCAGCCGCGTCCCCGCCACGGTCATCGTGCCATAAATATCAAGGAATTAATGGTCGTTTTTGTTGGCGGCAACGAGGGAATTGCCGATGAATTCCATGTTTATAATACAGGTATTTATTTAGATATGTGATTTTAAATGAGTTTTTTTTTTTATTTTGAGCGCGTTGATTGTATGTCATGCAAAGCAGGGGACATGATATACTTTGCCACTAACGGTAGTTGAGAATATCGTTGTAGTGTGTTTCGTGCTATGCTATGGAGCTGCACTGTCCCTGCACAATTTGGTGTCGATGTTCATGGAGCTGCACTATAGTCACACTACAATTGATAATTTCAATTGCTAATTGTCAATTTCCAATTATTAATTTAGTCACCAATCAATGGTATGTGCCCGTGCTGAAGGGCGATGTGCCAAATGGTTGTGCCGCTTATGGATTTGTTGTGGAAGGCACCCGCATGTTTGTCTTTAGCTTATCCAAATGAACTTTACGAGTTGCAAGCAACCAAATGGGAATGTCGCAAAATGTACCCTGAGACGCCGGATAATGGTGTCACACCCTGCCCACGGTTGGGGCACAGCTTCACGATGGTCGGCGAGAAAATATTCCTGTTTGGCGGACTGAGCAATGAATCGGATGATCCCAAAAAATAATATTCCCAAGTAGGTGTCAATTATTAATTAATATTAGTAGTTGTAAATAAATTGCCTTTTTTCTACTTTGGTTTCTTTGCAATAATACTAATTAATTATAAAAAATCTTAAATACAAAAAAAAAAAAATTCATAATTACGTTGGTTAACTTTAATTTTCGACATAGCAAAATCGCAAATAAAAAATATATTTAATTCAAAATCAAATTTAATATTTTTAAATTTAAATGAATGAAATTTTTACTAACACTTTTGAGAAGTCAAAAACTAGAATTTAAAGCAAAAATATATATAAAATGAGAGTAAGCAATTTCTCAGTTAAATATTCGATATTAATAGTGTTCATTTTTAAAATTTAAATTACTTTTAGATATCTGAATGATTTGTATATATTGGATACGCGAGGCGTGCACAGTCACAATGGCAAAATCCGCCTCCCCGGGAATCGCACACGGGTATTTCGTTTACGAGCAAAGATCCGGGCAAATTGAGCCTACTCGTCTACTCCGGAATGAGTGATTGTATTACGAATACGGGTATTTCTGTATTACGAATTATATATATATTAATTATTATAATTGTTTTCCATTTGGTTTTTTTTTTACAGATTCCATGCCGTGGGAGAAACCAAGAACTCGAGGACAAGCCCCACTTTCACGATCCTTGCACGGTTCGACAATGATTGCAATTAAAATGTATGTTTACCACTGGTGATAAATGACTCGAAGGCGACAACAGAACGTGAATGGAAATGCTCAAATACGCTCGCCGTACTTGATTTGGGTATTTACTATACTGTATATATATATATATACAATGTATATTATAATAAGCTTTTTGTGTAGATATGATGACGTGGGAGAATGTCACCCTGCACCATCGAGGAGAATGTGCCCAGAGCACGAGCCGGGCACTGTGCCATTGGCATTCAGAGTCGTCTATGTTTGGTCGGAGCGAGATGGTTATCGCAAAGCTTGGAACAACCAGGTTAGGGTGAGATGATCTACACTTATAACTGATTTTAATAATATGTATATATAAGTATAATAAATATATATATATAAATAAGTATATTTTATTTACATAACTATAAGCCAAGGTGTGCAGATTGTAAAGATATATATATATATATATATATATATATAAACAATTTATTTAAGTTATATTTTTATTGAATATTTTTTATTTAATATATAACAATTAATATATAATCAAAAAAATATTCTTTTGCTATTAATTATTAATGCTTAATTAAAGTTTGGTTTTAAATGTGCATATTATCCATTCCAGCTATATTTTTATTTTATAATAGATTTATATTTAAACAAAAAATATTCTTCCCTCGCTAGCCAAAATGAGTTGCGCTTATCGATATATAGATCGATGATCCAGTTCGGCTCCCTGCACTATCGTCACACTACAATCGATAATTAAAAACACGGCATATCTAGTCACGACTGCCAATCTGAGTCAGCACGCTACAATTGATAATTTCAATTGCTAATTGTCAATTTCCAATAATTAATTTAGTCACCAATCAATGGTATGTGCCCGTGTTGAAGCGCGATGTGCCAAATGGTTGTGCCGCTTATGGATTTGTTGTGGAAGGCACCCGCATGTTTGTCTTTGGCGGCATGTCGTTGTCGTTTTCTTCGGCTTTTTTTTTGCGCATTGTATGTGTGCACGAATTTTGGAGTGTGTCGCATTTCCATTTATTACTGACTTACATTTCAATTTCAATAAAGTGCAATTGATAATTTGGTAAGCGAGAAGGAAAAACAACAATAATTCGCATTTTAAAAAATTGTGTGATAAAATGGCACCAAAATTTTGATACCGATTTTTGATGAGCGTCGGCGTCCATTTGACGACATTGCTAGGTCAACATAAATTGTTAGCATCAACGCAGCAATCACAGTGCTCAATAATAGTTTATTCGTATTCATTTAAATTTTTAATTTTAACTTGACTAATTTTTTTTTTACAGTTTTGGCAAGCAAAAAGATGAACTTGAATTGTAAACAAATATATTAAAAACGAATAATCTGCTGAATTGAAAATGGAAATGGATGCCACCTACCAAATTGATAATCCTAATAATAATATGTTGGCCAATAATCAACTTGGTTTTCGTTGGAAACGCATTTTAAATCCAACGCGGCCGCAGCCGCGTCCCCGCCACGGTCATCGTGCCATAAATATCAAGGAATTAATGGTCGTTTTTGTTGGCGGCAACGAGGGAATTGCCGATGAATTTCATGTTTATAATACAGGTATTTATTTAGATTTGTGATT